CAATTGATAGTTTAGAAATTATTTTATATTTTAGTTTGATCTATTTTGACGTAAAATATTCATTTTTTTCATATAATTATCTCTGTCTGTACTTAATATTTTTATTCACGGAATAAAGCAATCGATGTAAAAAAAACTCATATTTGATTTTAAAATACAAATATGTAACTGTACGTTGCATTGTATTTCTATGCATATGTGCGTGTATGTACACATGCACGTGCGTGTGCATGTATACACACACATAAGTACATATTTCTTTAAGTATGATTTAAATAACGATGCATAAATAGAATCACACAATTGAGGATATATTCTCTGTTCAGTGAGTATGTGTATGTGTGATATAAATACTGATTATTGTCACTTTATTCATACAAATATAGTAACAATAGACAAACGATATAACAATATAATATATTAAGCTTGCATGTTCTTTGTACTTCTGTAATATCGATGTGACATAAATTTATTCTATTCAAGATTATTTTCAGATTTAATGATCAAGATGCAATCTATTACTGATCGCGCAGTTTATCATTCTTTCTTCATACTTGACAAACCATCCTGCAGTTTTTTCTTTTTTCCCCTTCATCGATTCTATTTATGAACAAGTTTTTGAAATAACTGGGTATACCCGGAAGGATAAGAAGAAAGGGAATTGAATAAAATCCGGTATGAGGGGCATCGACCTTTCGGCACGTGTCTCACGCCACATGTTACATTCGATGAACTAAATAACTACAGCTTTTCTTGGTTTATCAACGATTGCTAGAAGTTTCAAGTATTGATAGCCACATTGGACATTGTTTATGCTCCCAAAGCAAATGAACTATTTAGTTTTGTAATTAATCAAGATGCAACCTATTACTGATCGCGCAGTTTCATCATTATTATCATTCTTTCTTCATACTTGACAAACCGTCCTGCAGTTTTTTCTGCTTTTTTCCCCTCCATCGATGTACATATATACGAAGATAAGAACGACGCTATGACGATCCTGAAGTATTGATCAAACGGTATTCTAGCTTCGCGTCTTTATACCGCATCATAGCACAATGCACTATAGAGAGAAGATAGATGACAAAAAATTCGAGGGGTGTTAATTGTATAAACAAGAAACATAGGCAAGAAATCTCGATGCTGTAAGCAATAAAAATATAGGAAATATATGTAGATAAAAAGTTTCACTATTTTTACTGTTTTATTTCTATATATAACATAATGTACTTCATATATTCGACAACGTATCTAATAATAATCGATTATTTTTTGTTATCATATTTTTAAAATTTTGTTGATATTTTTGTTGATCTCATTAATATATGTACTTTATATCCAGATGATGAGTCAAGATAACTTACTAATTCTTATTGCTGCTTATGTAGTAGTATTAAGGGAGCAAATTTCTTTGAAAACAAAAAAGGTTCGATTTAGTTTAAAAACACGAAAAATTATAATGATATCACTATCTATATCATGCTATGTGTGCCTATATATATATAATATGTGCCTATGTATTAGACGAGTTAAACGAATGAAATGTGATAACAGAGATTGAAGAATACGAGAATAATAGTAGCTTTAATGATGTAAAATGTTGCTCTGATTTCGAAGTATCACTAAGTATGATTGTATGAGAAAAGATAGTAATGAACGCATAGCGAACAATGTAGCGTAACGATGTCACAGATACATCTATTACACCCGAGATCATACAATTAATCAGTCTACATACGTTTGTACCTGTCACATTATGTAACGAGGTGGTGTGATGCAGGACGGCGAAAGGTAATTGCGAGCGATGGTACGATAGCTTGCCTTTGTCGGTAAAGCACCGCGCTAGAATTGCTCTAGATCTTCAGTCGTTGGTAGGGAGGCGCAGTGGTGAGGAGGTGGTAGTCAGCGGTATCAGTTCAATACTGAGCTCTGACCCATTTGGCAACGGTCCCGAAACCGGCAACAGAACTTTCCGTAGATATAGAGGGGGATTTCATACTTCTCTTGCATTTCCTGGAGGAACTATAATCATTTCCGCACACCGGAAGTGTCATTTAATATAACGATAATTTACTTACGTTAAAGGAAATACACATATTATACAATTTCAAATATTTATCAATATATTCCAGAACATCGATCGGTATTATGTGTTACATTAACTGAAGGGTTAAAGGCATCTGTTATTTTGTTAATTATTTGCTACGAAAATATATAACACTGATTTTTAGATAAAAAAGGTAAGTAGTTATAATTAAATTGCCGGATTTTTATAATTTTATAATTTTCCAATATCAAGAATCAGGACAGAGATATTCCTTTTGATAGTTTTTTTTTTTTGAAATATTTTTTAGTATTCGTGCTTAAGCGCATTTATGCTTCAATTTGCAGTGAAGGTTTTATTAACCGATTGACATCGTTAATTACGAAATCATTATCGGTGCCTAGAAGATGCTCTCTTTTTGCTCTAACTCGCGCTATCTTTCGTTGAAACTAGATCACGCGTATCTTTTGGTAAATGTGTCAACCGCCCAGACGCGGGATCAATACTTACGCCCTGGTTTCGCCTCTCCCATCACATCCTCCCTCACCCACAATCCACAGATCCGCGCCCCCTTCGCCCCATCGTATTATTCCCCCTCTCTTATCAAACGGCTTGTTTTAAAGCGGTTGCTCTTATCTTTTTGTCTGGCATTTGTCATTAAATGTATTTATTAAGTGTTCGTAAATGTCGTGTTGAATTTTTTAGGGTTTACGTTAGAAGAAACGTGGAGGAAAAGTTTTGATAGAATATCGAGGTTCTTTGTCAATGAAAATATTGTGATAAGAATGTGTGTGATATAAAAAAAGATATTTAAATAGATATTTAAATACTCGATTACACATGTGGATGTAGAAATGCTTACATGTTATGGAATAATTTTACGTACAAAATATAAAAATATTATTGCGAAATATTTTGATCAACATACACACTTGCATTTGTATATTAAATAAAATTTTATAATAACACTTTCTCTTTTCAAAATTGTTCAAAAGATAGAAACATACAAGATATTACTTCTTTTATTTATCATAAATACGTAATTAAATATTTTTTTAAACATATTTTTCTAAAAAATAAATATTTTTTCTATAAAAATTGAAATAATACAGTTGTGTTAACAATCTATACTTTATGTCTTGCGCATTGTTCATAGATATTTCCTAAGAAAATAATAATGGATCAATTACAAATATGTAATCAACGCTACGCAATTCGTCAGGTTATTGGTTAATTTGTTTTGTGAGAAGTGAAATCGGCCTTTATCTTGTAACTTATACGTATGCAATCATTGCAATGAAACGGTAAATGTTTTAAGTAAAAGAAGTAGCATAAATTTGCGAGAAGATGCTCAATTATGCGTATGTTTGCGTATTCGTATGCACAATTTCATAACCATTATTATTTCGCAAGGTGAGTTTTCACTTTTCAATGTGGTGTTTCAAAGATGATATTAGATACATTTCTTAATGAAAAAGAGTTTCTCATTTATATGTGAATATATAAGCATGTGTAAATAAGAAACTTTCTTGTTCTGAGAAATGACTACGATTAGAGGCACCGATTTTGAGATCCGTGCAACGTAAGATAATTAATTATATATCAAAGTGTCTACTCAAATTTAAAAAAAATTTCTGATCTTTCAAGGTAAATTACAAAAATTTACAATTACAACAATTACAAAAATTTCCTGATTTTACAAAGTAAATTCTCTGAGAGATTTTTCAGGTTTTTCAGATTTTTTTTCAGACACCCTGTATATTTTTTAATGTATGTTATTGATAGACATCAATTTTAATAAGATTTATGAAGGATGTAAAAAAAGTTAGCATATTGATAGAATAAAAAAAGTGATCTAAATTGATGTTTATAGGCATAATAAGTCGAAAGTAACTATAAATCGAACTATAAATCGAAACAAGTATAGTTAAGAGAAGTGAATCTTCAACAGCGAGGTCGGGTCGATGAGTGCTTGACCCAATGACCTGAAACTACGCATGCCATATAGTTTATAAAGTGCGACCTAGATCGATGTAGTTAGTAGAAATTTGACTAAAATTAAATTTCTTTTACGTGCGTAAAAGAAATTGTCGTGAAATGCCACGTCAACTTTTCCTCCACTAGCTTTGCTTGCCACCGGAAATGGTGCGATTATCGTTTGGTACGGCGATAGCTGTTACGTCGTAGGAATATTTTTTGCGAATGCATTTTACAGACGTTATTCGATATAGTTTAATTCTTTTTCAAATATTGCCTATCTATACGCTTGACGTTGTTATCTATCATGCATTGCACTGTACATTTACACGCTGATGTCAATCGTGTCGTACTCACATATCTGGTTCTTCCACTTTTACTGACAAGCAGACGGAAGAACTTCGAAACCGGTCGGTGACCTAATCGATATAACCTAATGTATAACTTTCGATCTTACTTCGATTAACATGTCGATCTTAACTAAATCGCTTACCTTTCATTATGAAATGTATAATAAATGTAATGTAAGGGAACATTATGAAAAATGTCCTAGAGATGTCTTATAAAGATATCTTTAAGACATCTTTTAAATAAGCATGCCATTTGAATTCATTATAATCTTCGATTATAATTCGTATGGAAATTATGGGACCTTGTTAAAAACTTGCGGAAGCATTTTTAATTTAAAAAAAAGTAATTTTAATCTCAAGAGATTATTATAAGTTAAATATGTATAGTTTCTCTCTCTCTCTCTCTCTCTGTGTGTGTGTGTGTGTGTGCGCGCGCGCGCGCGCGTGTGTGAGACACATGGCTAAAAATGAAAGTTTCTCAAAAATATCACCTACGTAGATAAGTATAGTTAAGAGTTTTTACCATCGCTTCATAAATTCTTTGAAGAAAGAAAGAGTAAGGGGAGAAAGAGGAAAAGAGAGAAGAGACTCATGTACAAAAAAAATAAAGTATTATAAGAGAAACAGCGATGATGAATGCGTTGAAATTAAAGATAAGAGACGATTTCTCTCATATGAATAATTAATGATATGTATAATATTAATTTATTGATACGTAATAACACTGGTATATCGCAAAGCATTAATTTTGTAATAAAAATATTTTCGACAAAAAAAAGATATATTTATAGATATATTTATAAATTCCTTTCACAGTATTTTCTTTAATGCTTTTCATTCCTATTTCATTTACTTGTAGACAATTAGTAAAGATAAATGTGTATCATAAGTTCGAACAAAATGTATACGAGTGATTCTCACGTGCGAGATGCGTGATCGTCTCGAAAGCGTAGGAAAGGTGTGAGAACCGGCAGCAGTCTGTCCGGCGACGTGACAATAGTAACATAAAATTGTAAAAAAGCAGTTCTTAAATATACCGAACAGTCAAGCGATAATCTTTTCTTTTCTTCTAAAAACCCTACATACTACAAAATAATACTTGCTTAATTTTACAAACTTTCCACGACTTTTATTATCTTATACATAAAATATATTATTATAAAAAACAGTTGTTAACAATTTCAAAAATATATAATTCCACAAATTAATATGTCGAGTTTCTTACAGCATTATTTGCGTTCAAAGTGTACGTGATCTTTTTATCTTTGAATTTGAGCAAATAACTTTCGCTGACTAATTGGAAATTTAATGAATCATTCTCTTTTGTGTGTTTGTGTACAGACTGATTTTCATCATATTGAAATAATACATTTTAACATAGATCATAGAATAATCGATTATTCCTAAATATGAAGTGTATAGCACATTGATCATACTTTCTTGATGGCTGATCCTTTGTTTACGTAAGAGACTCTCGTCGTGCATTTACAGGTGCGTAAGAGCAGAGGTCGCGAAGCGATTGCCATATTTGAAAGTGACGGTGGCCTTTTCTAGAAAACCGTCTTTCAATTCGACGAACCTGTTCGCTATACTAACTCGACTTGTACATTGCAACTGTAAAAAAGATTGCGAGACCTATTTTATAAAATTTGGTCATCATTTGGTATTTTATAAAATCGATGATCATCAAGTAGCAAAAATAATTATAATCTTCTTATCTCATTCTTGTTTTATCAATATTCCTAGAATATTTTTATCTCAAAATTATATTTTTTTTCGTTATAGTAAATTTTCGTTATAGTAATTTCTAGATTCATATTAAATTGTAATAAATTCCTTTAACTTCTTTACTATTACGCATGTGTATAATATGATTTAGAGTTTGATAGTAATTGTATATAATAATAATCAAGCAACTTATATTTAAGTTATTAAAATCTAATGCTATTAACGATAGTTTAATCCTCTCTCTGTCTTCCTCTTTCAGATTACGATGTGTCATAATTCCAGAGAAGAGGCTTAAAATTACACAATGTAACGCGCGGTATATTTGCTTTCTTGTATATCGGTAATCTTTCGAAGGCGCGCACCATGTTCGTTCGAAAGTTTGGTGAGGGGAACAGGCCATGATAGAGCTAGGCAAAAGGGGACTAGAAAAGAGAACTTAGGTCGACGACCCGCGCACGTGGAGCCGTTCGGAAGTAGGCCACACCGTGACACACGCAAATGGCAAGATGGCCGCTACCGTCGAGAAACCGATGCGTTTTACAGAAACGCTCTATGCGCGCGCTGTGCCTTGTCACCGACCTATGTTGGTACGCGTGCTGCGCGTTCCGCGGTCGCGCATGCGCCGAACACATTTAGTCTAGCTGCTCGCCAAGCGAGTGCGGACTATTCGCGAAAACTTGAAGTGCGCATGCGGCACGTCGCAATGCCGCGCACAATCCGATATCTGACATCCGTGAGGCTCATTCAATATGGCGACTTTCATGATTGGCAATTTACGAATTGACACCTTTATATCTGCATTTTTTGCAATAATTCAATAGTTATTTTACGCAAACTCAATGATACAGCGAAGAGAGCGAATAATTTAAAGCTATGATTTTAATTCAAACAATTAACTTGTCAAATAATCCAATATTATTTTGTTAATGCGAATAGAATTATTAATTTTTGTTTTTTGAAATAAAAAAAATAGTTTAAAAATAACAAATTATATAATTTGAAATTTTGTTATAAATCTTATTATAAAATCTTGTGGCCAATTAAGTTAATCAGAATTTAATTGAAGCGATACTTAAATATTTTACTAAGTTAATGACAAGACAGTTAAATAACTACAAATTTTTAGAAATTATTTGCATTTCAACATAAAAGTGAAAATCTTGTTTTGCTTAATCGCGAAGTGTAAACGAGTAAGAAATGTGTTTCTCTATTCATTCGATGGTGTGCACATATAGTTTGTAATTTTCTTTTGCA